GAGAGAGAGAGAGAGGGTTTGGGGACGAGGGGAGAGAGAGGGGTTAAGGCGGGGTTAGGGGAGAGAGAAAGAAGGGTTTGGGGTGGGAGGAGAGAGAGAGGTTGGAGGAGTGGGGAGAGAGAGAGGTTCAGGGGAAAATAATGTGAAGAGAGAGAAATGAAGGTATTTAAAAATGATGTTTTTTTTTATATTTGTTTGAGGTAAAAAATAGATTCAAAGGGCATCAAATCAGTTTGAGAGATTAGAAGATACAAAACTTAAAATTTTTGACCTTATATATGTTTTAAAATTTTAAATTTATTAATATATAAAATTAAAAAAAAAAAAGTACGGAGATATTGTCCCAAAAAAATATCCCCCCTACACTCTATTTTTATATACTATTTTCAAACAGACCTAAAATTTAAAAGAGTTTTCATAAAAATCCTACAAAACATATTTTTGAGTTTACCAGACACTTCTATCTATATCTTTTTCTAAACCTCTCCCCCTCCTATACCTTTTTTAAAAAAATCTCATGCATTTTTTTAAAGTCTCTTTTATTTATATCATCGAAGGTTACCCTCTCTACCATTTTTAGCTCTCTATCCCTATTTTCTAATATCTATCTCCCATTTATTTTTTTTAAATCTTTTATTTCTTCTTTATTTATATCATCTACAGTTTCCTCTCTACCGTTTCTCTCTATCTCCATTTTCAATAAAATCTCTCTCCTATTTATTTTTTTAATTCTTTCATCTCAAAGTCTCTCGTTCAACCGTTTCTCTCTTTCTCTATCTCTCTCACTCTCTATTTTTTCTATCTTGCAGTAACTCCCAATAACTTATAACATTATTTCTCTGTCCCTAGCTCATTTTTTACGTGTTATTCTTCTATATTTTCTCTAACTTGTACTATTGCCATTAACTGCAATTAATAATAACTCCCATCTTAAATCTTTCCTAAAGTATTTCACCTATTTCGCTCATCTCTTTTTCCTTTAAATCTCTCTCTCAATCTCTCCCTCTCAAAATATCTTTTTAAGAAAAACCTCTTCCATCCTATCTCACCATAAACCCTTAAGCCCACCCCAAAAGTCTATCACACCCAACCTTATATCTCTCTCAAGTTCATTTATCTAGTGATCTCTCATAATGAGTTTTTAGCTTGGAAAAATTTTCCTAAGAGAAAAGTAGAAGGTGTGATGTCTATCTCTCTCTCTATGTAGTATATTTTTCAAATTGTAATATGAATTTTGTACATGTAGAAAATAAATGGTTGTTCTCTCTCCTCTCAAGTCGTGAAACTCAATTAGAATAAAAAAATTAAAGATTTAGATTTTTAAATAGTTTTAATTTTTTATCGTAAACATGAACATAATAATAAAATAGTAGTATAGTTGTCAAATTGTAATATGATTTTTTTACAAGTAGAAAATAAGAGAGATTTTTTTATCACTCTCTCACAAGTCATGAAACTCAATTAGATTGAAAAAAACTAACGATTTAGATTCTTGAATGGTTCAAATTTTTTATTATAAATTTAAACATAGTAATAAAGTAATATCTATTATTAATTATTATTAATATTGTTAATAGTATTGTTATTTTATTTTTATTATTTTTTTTTATGATTGCCTATAAGTTATTTATTTATCTTATTGTCCCTTCTAGCTTTCTATTGCTATTTTCCAGTTGTATTATGCCTTTATTATGAAATAATAATTTAATTCTAATTATATGTTATTTTTATCGTATAAGGTAAAACCCATAAAACTTAAATGCTAATGGAAAAAATGATGTTTTTTCCTTTTTGATTCCGTTGTTAGATTCAGTGGTTTAAAAGGATCGGCGACCCGGATCGGGCATCTCAAAAACCCATCTGGATCGACGATACGGATCGGGATTGGCTGAATTGGTCGGATTAAACTTAAAACAAATCTGAAAAAATTAGATGTTGTTTTTTAGGAATTCAATAAGAAATGAGGGTACTCCATTAAGAATTTTCATTTCTTTGCATGAATATGCGAATATTGATATGTTCTTTCCCTGTATGAACTACTATTTACCATTTAATTTACATCACACAAAAGGATAAACATATAA